AAGGGAGTGAAATGAGCAGCCTCAACAAGGCCTTTGGGAGCTGGAGAAAATCAGCGCTCGCACAACAGACCAAACGGTAGCACTTGGATGCAATCTCTCTGCTCTCTCTATGAACGGAGTTACTTCTCTGACCCGGCTGGCTGCCCCATTGCTCTGTCTGACCATCTGTGTCGCAGCTCTGCCCAACCCAATCCGGTTCAGCTCCTTTCCCATTCTCCTTTTCATACACTGACATTTTTATCCTCCTGTTAAAACTTTTAAGGGCCCATTATCTAAGAGGAAGGAATGCTGCTTTAATAGTGTGGTGGCTCCATGCTTAGGCCCCTTCTTTTCAGTTTGTAACCAACCAACACTAGCTAGCTGCTTAATGTTCTCCAGCCAGCGTCGAGCAGAGAGGGGACCGTCTCCCCTCTGAGACGTATGACAGCAGCTCAGCACGGACCATGAGCCCTCTTTTCACTTCCCCAAGCACTCAGAGCAGACTATAAACCCTTGGCATGCCTTCCACTACTTCAGCCCCATTGTTTCAGTCTCTCCACTACATGGTTTTCAGGTTTAAGAGGTCGCTTGCAGTGCTGTGGTGAAGAACTTGTGGCCTCCTTGGATCTTTTGTCCGCGGATCACAGGAGTCGGAATCTTAGCCACAGCACCCATGTTAACTTTTCTTTTGCGTAGTTCCGCATGTCATGTTAAAACTCTTCCCTGCTGTTGAAAGTTTACTGTTATTTGTTTTCTAGGTAGGCAGGTGTTTGCTCAAAGCTCCTGTGCATAACACGTGGTCCAACAGAATCCTTTTTTCTTACATGATAGGCATGTTTTACTGTGTCTGTTTCAGTAGATTTTGCCATGTAGTAAGTGGTTCCGAGAGTTCTGAGAAACAGCCTGTTGATTCTTAGCTCACAAGCTATAGAGTTTACATTGCCAGCCACTGGCTTAGATGATGATTTGACCTCCAATCAATCTCTCCACACAGCTAACCGTTTAGACCGATTTGCCCACAGGGGTTGCCATCATCAGTAAATCCTTATGTACCTTCATTTTCTTTTTTCTGTTTTACTGCCCTGTCGGTTTTCAGAAAAGCAGCTGTGTGGTGTAACCTGCACTTAATGCCGTGTCCTGCAAGTACTGCGGCCGATCTCACATATTAAGTTGAAGTTCCACTGACTCAATGAGAGACAAATTGATTCTGTTTCAAGAGATCGAAATGTAATATACTCTGGTAACTTTATCCCAGAGGATCTTGCTGTTGTTACTTTAGATAAGAATAGGAGCAGTCAGCACTGGATATTAAGCATGCTCTACAAGATCTTAGCTGGTCACAACCATTTTGACTAATACTAAAATAAGGCTAGTGTGTCTGCCTGCCATTTTCTTAAAGTCCTGGATTCTCAATCAACTTCTTGATTGAGAAAATACATTTTCTGCCAGAGTAAAAACTGTTTTGGTTATTTCACATGAGAGATTTTTGTTTTTCTTATTTTCACTACGCTGCTCGCAGCTCACTGGTTAGAAGTGGGATAAATCAAATCTGAACAAACTATACCCACACAGCCCTGATGAAGCTGATTAGCTGAGTTTTCAACTGTTAAACTCTGATAAATAATAAGTAAAGATTTTTTTTAATCGTTGTGTTTGATTGTTTGTCTTAAGTCTTATACACTTATTTAGTCATGGATATTTAATGTTACAGAGAAGTACTTCAGATTTGATGCCAAGTTTTCAGGGACTTTAATGATTATTTTCTGGCAACAAATGCATCCCGTCACCAGGCATGTAATTAAATACTCTAGAAAGGTAATTACTGTTCAATCATTGCAATAATTTGATATTTGGATCTATGAAAGCAGGGGTTCTCAACCTTTTATAACTGAAGGCCCATTTCTGATTGTTAAAAAATTTCCAAGGACCTCCTTCCCAAATAAATGAGGGGGAAAAATTACATGACAAAGGAATAAACTGGGCTGTGACAGGATTTCACCACATTCAACAAACTGTGCTTTCAGCACAGCATCACTGCCTGCCATTATGAATCCAGATTGAATGTATTCAGGGTCGTGTTTCCTCACCAAACGCTTTGGAGCTTTAACTGGTGCAGGGTTGTTTCTCACTTTTTAATTTCAAAAACTATCCATTTTGTGTCACTGCATTCAAGGAAACATTAGCTTGCTAACAGTGGTAAAAACACGCTGGTCCCTACCTGATGGTGTGTCACGATGGCCTTGTGATATTCAAACTTTAACTGGTCATTGAAATAATGCGCGCTCATTTTCTTTCTTTCCGAGAGTTAGATGAGAAGATCGACGCCACTCTAACATCTGTACATTAAATATTAGAATTTTGCTTTGCAAGAGGACTGAAACAGGGGGAAACGGCTATGTGTTCAAAGGGAACAAAATCAGCCTACCAGCACCTCAAAGCTCACTAATGAACATATAATATTAACACAAAGTGTTGTTTTTTGCAAGGTTTTGTGTGGATTAATCAAACTAAATCTTTATGCTAGGCTAAGTTGGTATGGTGATAATCATTTTATCTAATCTTCAGCAAGAAAGCAATTAAATGTATTGGTGCAGAGGTCACGACCTGTCCTGAGAGGATAAAGTTGTGGCTCCTTTGCAGAGGGAACACTCCCACTTGTGTTCTTGTTTAATTGCAGTGTTCCCTTTTTACCGTAAGTGCAGTGGTTTTGATGACGCCTGTCTGTGTTGAGCTGTGAAAATCCAAATCCACTCTGGTCAGTCCCTCTGTAGCTATTTGACTCCTTTTCAATTATTTGGACTCAATTTCCTGTCCAGTTCTCTGCCTTTAAAGTGATCTGTGATAGAGTTTCTTCATATAGAGGCACATATGATCCATTTTTTAAAATTTATGTCTCCCCTTCACTTTTCTATCAACCTCCTATATGAAGGAGGTTTTTCTTTCTGCTTCCCATCATTTAGTAATGATAAAAACTGAAGGCCTTTGGCAGCTACTTAGAGGGAACGGCACACTTTCGATGATAACTGGGCATGGCTTGGAGAAAAGGGCCATTGTGTCAACACTTTGGCTTTTATTAGCCCTCAGAAAGATGAAGGCCCAGGTTCTGGCCCCAGCCCGACATGTTATTGATGGATGGGTCTGTAGCACTTGGGCAGAGGGGGCTGCATAAAAATAAAGGGGGAGTGAAGTGAGTTTTCGGATGCATAATACAACCTTAGTAAATAATCTTCAGTCCATTGGGTTTACTTAGGTGGATATTCAATCCTCTGTTAAGTTCAAAGATGTCTGTTTCTTGCCCTGGCCTCAGATAGACACAAAGCCAAGGAAAGGGACCACTGAATTCCACATCCTATTTAAATATCCATGTGACTTGCTGTGAAATTTGCAGCACTTTACAGCAGCTGCTCTGTTGATGCTCAGTCATGGTGACTTCACCCAGTACTGCCGTGTCTTTTTCTTTTCGCCTTCAGAGCATCAAGTGCCGGCCCAGTGTTTGTTCAGTGCTGAGCCTTTGTGTAGCAGGGAGGGCTGCTGCTGCAGTTAGTGTCTGATGGCTCAACCTGTCTGCAAGAATGACAAGAGCTCATGCAGGAAAGTCTGAGAGCATTGGATGACCTTGTGACACTTGTTGACAGACTTAAAGTGATGGAAAGTATTTAACTAGGAGATCAGAATTGTCTGTCACACTCTCATTGTCAGCTCCTTGAAGTAAAGAAAGAATGTAAATAGATTTTAGCCACGAGGGGAAATACATAAATGGGCAGGTTGAGTTCTTGGCAAAACATGTGGAAAACAAGAGGGCATAGTTAAAGGAGGTTATGGTGGCAGGAGTTAAACTACATTAATAAGTAATTAAGGATAGAATTATGTGAAAACCCATTTCTGTCAAGCTGAGATTGTTTTTTCCTCATAACCCTCGAGGCAGGAACATATGACAGCACACGGTTGTCAAGACCGACACACTACATTTGGACTTTAGAGAGCACAAGGTTACATTAGCTTTACTAGGTGTTGGCACTTACGCACACATATGCAAATGCTTACATTTATAGCAAAAAAGTTGGCTAATTAAGAAAGTGAGACCTCCAAACACCCTTCAGTGCCACAGCAGATTTAATGAGACATTAATGGAGATGTCTTCTTTCTCACTGCCTCCCTGTTCACCAGAAGAGAAGGAAAAGGAGGGAGATCTGTTTGGTTTTTAATGAGCCAGAGAGCTGGGGTTTGTCACTGTATCAGTAGCGGTGTCAGGGTTTCACAACGAATAAGTCCAATATCAGTCTTCTCCTGCAAAGGCAGTGGTGTTATTACAGTGCAGAGCAAAGCACAGGGAGAATTGCATCCATTTGTGTAATAATTCATGACACGAGGGTCAAGTCATAGAAATTCATGCTAGGTGTCTGTTGTATCTCTTCATCAAGCATTTATATATCATACAGAAATTATGCATCTTTGGGTGCCAGGTTTAGTAAAGCTTTAATTTATGAATTTATGAAAGGCATTCATTTTGTGTTTCTAGAGATTTGTCACATTCTTACTGAAGTGCTTCAACGTTGTTGACTCGTAAAAAAAAGTGCACCCTTTTTTGTGAAGTCCCTTTTGATCTTGGTCTCAGCAGGGAGAATTTAACCAAGGAGTTAATTTTTTTTCACAGTGTTCCTCCCTTCTTTTCTTTATGGCGGATTACCTCAATTAAAATTACAGGTCTACGGGATCAGCTCCTGCTGGGGGTTTTATCCTTTCTGTTGGCAGCCTCCTTTTTATAGCCTGAGCAGAGTGAGCATGTTCTAACAAGTGCTTGGATCATGCTGGGCATGTCAGTCACCAGCAGCAGGCATATATCTGACTGAGGGTCAGTATGCGTGACAGGCATTTTAACATTTTTACTCCTCTTACCAGCTGAGTGATATTTAATTTAAAACCAAACCATTCTTTGTACTGAATGGTTTTTAGTTATAAAAAACATGTTTAATGTGTGTGGCAGTTAAGAGGTATACTCTCTCTCCCGGTTTCCTTCACAGCGCAACCAGACGGCTCAAAGGAGGGACCCACCTGCATGGACAAGAATCACGGCTGCGCACACATCTGTAGGGAAACGCAGAAAGGTGCCATCTCCTGTGAGTGTCGACCTGGATTCCAGCTCACCCGTAACATGAAGGACTGCAAATGTAAGTCGTGTCAACCTCAAGCATACTTCCCCCTCTGTGAAATACGTACCCACACACACACACACACACACACACACACACACACACATATCAGTAGGAGAATTTAGAGGCTCCTCATGAAAAGGTGATCGGGGTTGGAAAACTGACGATGATGGATAATTGCGCTCATTCCACAAATGCCTTTCAACAGATTTGAAGTAGGCCACTGACATTTATGTTGCATTACCAAGCCATGACTAATTTCCTGTATAGTCCTTGTAAAGAAAAACATGTTTATCAAATAAGGAGTGATCATTTACACAACCAGGGCAAGTGTGGAGGTTACTCGAAGGGGACTGCTCTGATGGACAGCCCACACTTCCTGTTGCTGTGCAACGGAGATCATCCTGTCAGAGTTGGGGCCAGGGCTGATCGGGGATTTGTCTGTGTTTGGATAAGGATTGGAGAAGTGTTATTCTATAGTTTTTCTGTGACAGCCCAGGAAAAGGGCAAAAGGCGCTGGGATGGTAGGGTGCAGACAGGATGGCGGTGGAAGCCTTGGCTCACTTGTACTCTTTTTAACTCTGTCATCACAGGTGTGTTAAAAGTGCCAAGGTTAATGCTCCCTTCACCCGCCAGCACATTAATGTATTTGCAAAGACGCACACATGAACCTACTAATACCAAATCTCTTCCCATCACTTATTTATAACTGACATGAGTCTTGTACTGTGTATGTAAGAAATGTCATACATTATAAATGTATTCACTTTCAGGTTTTTGCCCATTTTGCAGAATTATTATAATGCATTAAAATTAAGCTCGTAGGGTTAAGCTCTTATATAGAGTTACTTAGAATGAGTGAGTAAGACTAGCTCAAGGCTTCCTCATCGGGTCTGTTGGAGATTTTAAAAAATGTGACCTCTCAGTTCCTCCACTACTCCAATTTAGTCACAAGGATAAAAACATTTAGTCTGGGAAGTAAAGAATGACTAGAGCTATGATAGTGACTAATGTAATTAAGGATTCATCAGTTGAAGTGGTGATTGTGTAAATCTAAGTCTAAATCTTCACATTATGGTGCACACAGTTTGACCTTAATCTGAAATGTTGAAAGATATCTAGAGGTCTCAGTGGTTTGTGTACATCTTTAGTAATGTGAGGCGATTTTCAGCATTTATTTTCCATGCTGTTAAAATGTTGAGACTGAGTTGTGAGTTTATTAATCCAGCTCTTTTGAGGAACTCTGAAAATAGGAAACTTGACGTACAGTATGTCTCCGTGAAGCTCTCTGCCAGAGAACTGAATGTAGTCTGAACTACCCTTATTTCTTGTCACCTCTCTGCTGTCAACTTAAAAAAAAAAAAAAAACTCAGCAACATCTAAAAAAATGTGTATTATCCTGTGTGTACAGTTTATGTTAACTATGTGCTCTTTGATAGTGACTTGTAACTATGGTAATGGCGGTTGCCAGCACATCTGCGAGGAGACAGACCACGGCCCTAAGTGTTCGTGCCATATGAAGTTCGTCCTGCACAGTGATGGAAAGACTTGTGTAGGTGAGTCATCTCACCCCAATACAACTACCAAGGGCAAGAAATAATGGCTGAGAAAATGTAGAACAACAAACAATTAACTCGGTGTGCAATTTCCGACAGCAAATGTAATTAATGTTTGAAATGAGTTTTATAGCGATTAAATGCAAGTTGAAATAAAGGCCATGTTACAGTATCTGTACGCCTGATCCTTTTCTCTTGATCTGTGACATACAAGGACAAAAGGCTACCACCCACTGTGCTTTTCCCTTCTTCTTCAACTGCTGCTGCTCCAGTAACCTCTCTGTTCTTGCATCTGCTTTGGCTTCTCTTCTTCCTCCTCCTTCTCCTCCTCTTCTTCAATGAACACTGTGCAACAGCTCTCCCTATTCCTCTCTTGTCTCTGAGCCATGCAGTCAGACGCACACCTTCTATTAGCCCTTGGGTCAATTCCTCCGTTGCTTCCCATTGGGGATTAACTCACACACCTGACCTAACCTTCCACTGGCATTTATCAGTGTTTGCCTCAGTTGACTTAAGTTGAGTAAAAATCATTCAGCCACTCAAGCATATTGAACCGTTCTGAAGGGCAGCTTCCCATCAGATGGGACCTGCAGGTGCCGTACAGTCAAAGTACAGGTCGATATATATGTACGGACTGCGTTTTAGTCATGCAGAATTGCAAACATTTCAATGACAATCATGGAACATTAACTATAAAGTTAGTCAGGTGTAAATATGAGATTGACCATTACACTACGTGTAGCAGACAGGCCTTTATTTTATGCGGCTATTTACCCCGTGTTTAAAGTTGTTTAAAGTGTCATTAAAAGTTTTTGAATACAGTACAAACCCATTTAAACCAATTTAGCGTGCACTTTGCAATGTTAGTAACATTGATTTGTAATGGGAGCTTCACTTAGTTGGACAGGACATATTTTTATTGTCTGGAAGACAAATATAGTCATAGAATATGAAACTCCGCCTGTAGAGCAGACTGGTGAGGTGGTTGCTTGGTTTGAGTGGCTGTTAGGTTTGAGAGCTTGGTTTGGGTAGCGGCTGATTAGCTCACTGTTTCTGGATCCCCTTTATTACCGCAGCCCTGATGAGAGCCAGACCTATGTCAAGGTCTGGTCAGCCACTCTGTCATTATTGCTGTAGCCTGCTAGGCCCGGGGGATGCCACAAAGTTGACCGCATCCAAATTATATGTCTTAGCCTGTCTTATTCCCTAGACAGAGCAAATGTACGTTTGGTGTGCCAGATTAGGAAGCAGTCAACCAGTTAAAATCTCTGATTTCCCCCTCTGAGTCTGGGGTTACAGAGGTGGAGGGAGGGCTGCTCTGTGGTCAACACGGGGGCGCGCCATCTCCCAGACACACTATTAGCTAATAAAACCTCAATAAAACAAACAATCTGCCAAATGAACCACTGACGGGAGAGTGAGTGACAAGAACGTTGGAAGACCTTCAGTAAGGCACCACTTCGGTGCACTAGGACTGTAACTATGTAGGATTTCCACCATAAGAAAATATATTTAAAAGCAAGGCATCATGAAACCGTGGTTGTTTTTTTTATAACACTGCAACAGTGTACATTAATATTTGAAGTTGGTGTGCAAGGTTTTAACACAATAACCTTATTCCTCCGGCAATTTCTTTGTATTGTTTTTGTTTTGATAAATATGACTTGTTACAAGATACAAATGCTACCTCTGCTTTGAAGAAATACTTTTTTATTTATTTCAAAGCTTAAAACAAATGGTTTCTCTTGAAACCAAGAACTCATATTCTAATCCTGAATTAAGTATTAAACAGTCTTAAATGCCACAAACAAGATAAAAATGGCTTGCTGGGGTTGTTATATTTTTACTCACTGTCTGCATGGCACGTAGTGATAATTACTTTTCAGCCACTGCATTTGGAAATATTTAATGATGTATAGAGTGTTGTGGGTATCCATAGAAACCACACAAAGTGAAAATCCACTCCTGTTTAGCTTCACTATTGATTTGGAAACGTTGATGATTCATTGAGTCTCTGGATACTTCATCCAAAAGGAACACTGAGCATGATTACAAAACAGCTTTTCCCTTGTCAGTGGCTTTGTCGTTAGTCTGGTGGGCTCTTTCAGAATGCTGTAGCTTCACTGTTCAATCCATCTTGTGGGGTGTTTCATATGCTTTCTGCCACATTCTCATTCATTTTGTGGTGTCTCTCTGCACCCAGGCTTGGTCATGCATTTTGTAATAATACGCTACATGCTGCTCTGTTGGGAAGTGTTGGTTCTTTATCCTTCCTATCTCACCTCTGTTGATACTTTGCAGACTGTAGGTAGGAACTTTAGTGTCAGCAGGGCTTTTAAGGATGGCACACATGCACTGTTCTCTCTCTCATTCACACACACGAGCATACACACTCTTAGAGATATTTGTTCAATCGCCTGCTCAAACTTAAAAGTCAGATTATTGACAGAAACAGTCCTAACAAAATCAGGTTTATTTTGTGCATAAAATGTCTTTGTATGAAGTAAGTTCAGCTATCAGAAAGGAGCAGCCATCATGTGGAAGCATTCACACTGTTAGCACAGCAAATCATAAACATTCACAAATAGCAGGCAGATGCAGACATGCTCAGGAGTTCAATCATCTGAGGAGTTGGCCACACTATGCCAGACACACACACACACACACACACACACACACACACACACACACACACACACACACACACACACACACACACACACACACACACACACACACACACACACAGGAAGAGAGCGAGATGTGCATTTTATAATACAAACAGAAAGCTAAACAAACAACCACACAAACATACAGTACATCCATGCATGACATGCATGTAAACATATGTATTCTACATGCATATGGCCCTAACAAACACACTGTGCTCTCATTTCGGGTGGTCTGTGCATCCATGCTGGCATATTCTGATGTATCTCACAGTGTTCACAGTGTGGGACATGTTGGTCGAACTTTGGCAGTCAATGTGAACTCTGCATGTTTTGGGGTGTTGACCTGTTACTGCCAGAGTTGAACGTCTGCTCCCTCCACTGGCACATCAGAAGGAGCAATTCAGACGGTATATGCTTTAATTACAAGGATTGAAGTAATATAATAATTATAAATATACTGAGGAAATGTTGTTTGAAATATAACTGAAATAGTGTAGGGATAAACACTGTAGTTCTTTCTAAAATTTTAAAAACATCCCTCAAAAGGCCTTTTACCTTTTTCTGTTTTGTCGATGTGCTTAAAGGCCCAGTACGTCACCCCAGCTGTATCATGAGTGTGGTATAGAGCTAAAAATACTGTAATAATGGGACTCACTTGGCAAATTAGGCTTGTAGAATTTGTTGAATTAAAAGTCCATCAATTAAAAGCCATAATTTGACATTAATTAGAGGTAAAAACAAAACCAGACAAATGCTGAAATCGTTTTTTAGTGACAGCACATAAATTTTACAGCTGGGCCACTGACAGTGCTTAGCGACTTGACATAACAGCCTAACAACATTAATTCTGAAATGATCTGACCGTAAAAGACAACATAAAAAGCAGACATGAATCTGGCTGTCCCTGTCTTTCAGCTTGCAGCACTAACCACCACTCTGTCGAGGCTCGCAGCGCTCATACTAACTAGCCAAAACCTCATCTCACACACAAACAACAAAACTGCACTTTGTCTGCAATGTGTGGATTATTTATTTGCATGACTGCATGTTGCGAGGTAACACTTTTGCCTTGAGATGTCACTCTTTCCATTTTAGACGAGAATCTGTCATCATCAGTTTGTTCTTAGTATCTGGATAATAATCACTGCTGTTTGATCAGTTGTTACCAGTTGTTGCCCAGTCTTTTCTTTTGCAACCACACGATGTCATTCTCTTATGTCATTATCGCCTCCTGTGGGCATAAATGGACATTTGTTTAATTCAATAGGGATGATCCCCTCTCGTCCATGCTATCCACCTTATTCCAAGCCCAATGAATTCTGGATGCAACCTACAGTTATTCCTGTTACTGAACTGATGTCTGCGAGAGATAGCGGTACGCTACAGGTGTCTTCTTTTTTGTTGGAGCTTTTTGGGAAATAAATGATGTGGTAACACAACCTGTCAGGGTAACCATAACCATACCATGTAGCTTCTACTACCTGAATGGAGGACAACCCGAAGAAATGACCTCAGGGAGCTATAACAAACTAAGTTAGTTGAGCGTTAGCTTAAGTGTTACAGAGTTCAGGGACACATTGTGCTGTTTGCGGCTGCACCATCTGTCAAGCTAAAGTAACTTTGTGGTTTAAAAAACAATTTGTCCAACATAAACCAAAAATGAAAAGGGATTATTCCTGTCAGCAATGGTACAGTTTCCATCATCTACCAAAGGAAGACTAATCCAAAACAGCTGGCTTGTCTGCTGCTACTATGTCTACTATGTCTGCATTCAAAATACACATGGGTTTGTTACACTTCATTTCAGTGGCTGACTTGATTACTGTTGGTCGATTATCAATCCACTGTCAGTAACGGAATCAATTCAGCAAGCTAAATATGCTACTGTACATTACCAAAGGCAACTTGTTCATGTCGTCCACATATCCCTTGGTAGTAAAAGGCAGAGGTATGATCCCATTATCCACAGGTTGTGTTTCCACATCATTTATTTCGCAAAAAGCTCTAAGAAAAGACACCTGGAAGTCACGCCCATAATTCATGCAAGGTATCATGGGGCTGTAGGAGTAAGGTTGATATACAGTATACCACATCAGATTAGTTCTTGTCACATGGTCATGATTTATATATCACATGCATCAAATGCTGGGTGGTTCAAGTGAACAGAGAACTAAACTGGTGTTTTTACAATGTGTGCGTGTGTGTGGGTGTGCGCATGCATGCAGGGGAGAGGAGTGTCCAGCCCAAGGGAACCCCACAGCCGTTCCCCAATGGTAAATATGTGTTCCTCTGACTCCTCTCTCTGGGGGTCTGTGGGTTTGGGGAGTAGAGGAAGCTAACTTAGCAGACACTGATCAGGCCCTTCCCCTCCCCACAGGGGCATCATCCTTCTGACCCTTGACCTGTGACCCCCCCCCTCCCCCCACCTTCCTGTTCCTTCTGTGAATGCCCTCTCAATAATAACCACTGCCCATGTCAAACCACACCTTTTTCCAAAACACAGCTGCAAACAGGGAGCCTCCGAATAGCAATATGACTTAGAGATATATTGAATCTAATATTGTCAAATAGAAAGATTTTTCTTATCAAAATCATCTTCCTGCTAGTAGTCAGTTTGACAGCATTGGAACTAAGTAAATTTACTCAAGTACTGTACTTAAGTACAGTTTTGAGGTACGTAAGTATTTCCATTTCATGCTACTTTATACTCCACAACAATTCAGAGGCAAATATTGTACATTTATCTTAAAGCTGATTAAGACAAATATAATAGCAATAAATGACTAAAAATGACACCAGTGGCCCCCAACCTTTTTGGCGTATGACCCCTTACAATCAAGCACTCTACTTGGGGCCCCTTGACACATTTTAGATAATTTAAATAATTGTTTGAGGACCAAAAAGAGGTGAAATTATCAAATTTTTCACAAAAAAAGACCAAACTCAAAGCCCATAAAACAGATCTTTTTTTTTTTTAGTAACCCCACATCATTATCACAACCCCCTCAGTTTTATGTTATGACCCTCTGGAGGGACCCGACCCCTAGGTTGGGAACCACTCAACTGAACTACCTAACTGTAAAAGGCTAAGTATACATTGATTCATCAATATTAATCTAGTCTAGAGGTTTTTTTACTTGCTTTAAACTTACTTTACATGTGGCCTGTAATAAGTCTGTACATAAATAAGATTTTGAATGCAGGATTTTCACATTTATCCACCAGAACTTTTAATTAAGTAAACGATCTGAATATTTCTTCCACCACTGCAGTTTGATTGATCTACTGAATAAGGATGCATTAGCATAAGTGCAAGTAGCCTTTGTTAAACATCCAAAACACCATCAATTTAACTGTGATGCCTTTTCAGACGCAGACCAAAGACTCTGGTTTTATTTGTGTTTTGATATGACTGAAATGAGTGAAATTAAGCTTGCGCTGTTTCAAACACTCCGCCATGGTGTGCCTAAACTCCATCATCATGGCCTATTAGCTTTTGGAGAGGGAGCCAACAATGTGTCCATGATTCAGGGCTGCTTACATACAAAAGATAAAACACAGAATCCCTCTAAACTTGCCTTTTCGTTTTCTTGTGTCCTAAAATGGTGAAAATAATCAGTTCGAGGGAATATATCCATGTTATTCCAGTCCAGTTTCTTCTTCTATTTTGTGGCCAAAAGTAATTTGTTTCACTACATTTGCAGTAAAATGAACAATGGAGCACATTTGGGGGTGAGTGGAGGAGAGAATTTACTAAAGAAACTTTTTGCATTTTGATAATATCACTGAAGCCCAATTTTCTGGATGAGCTGTGTTTTAGTATATATGGCAAAGATACCTGGAAAAATAAACTCATAAATGTACGAGTATCAAACCTTAAAACATCAAAGGGATTTACGATTTAATTATACCATGTAAGAGATTCAGGGAGGAGGCTTGTTCTCAGAGGAGTAGCCTGTTCAAGGTAAGAAATGCAGCAATAGTGTTTTAAGTTACTAGTTGTTACTACTGTATGTACACTGAGTTTCCCACATGCTACGATGTAACAGTCTGACCCATTTTAGGTTTAGATTTTGTGTCCTAGTTTCAGTTTTTTTCTCAGAAATAGAAACATTGGGCACAAGAGACACATTTTGCATCCTAATTTATCAAATTTATTCCTGATTTCCTGTATTCCTGTACCATACTGAAACCAGCTTTGTGGTACCTCTAGAGGACCTTAACAAACTGTTCTCAGTGGTTTTACTTTCTTATTGTGATGTTTACGTTATTGAGAGAGCATTCACTTCAGTTCTATAGTCCTTTTTCTTCTCCAGCTGCATGCTTGCTGTTTGGTCAAGAACACACAGTATTTTCTCTTTTTTGACCAAAGCTATTCTATTCCTTGTGATCAACACTCAAGGAACGTTTTGTGAATTTTGTCCACTCCCTGTTAACGTATTTTGTTTGCAGTCGTCATAAATGGCTGATGGCTATGGGATTATTTTCCTATCTTTATTCAAGAGTGTGGTCTTTCAATTTGAGAGCATGATTAACCCTGCCCAGATCTGCTCTGCTTCTGCTCGGAATGTGTGTTTGAACTCCCATATATTGCTGCTTGCAGAGATTTGCTCTCAGATTTCTGCTCTGCTCTCAGATTTTTTTTGTGCAATTACACTGGAAAAATGCCCCAACTAATAGATTGCTAGGTGTAGTGTACCATATCTACCTCATTATTATTTTTATTATTATTATTATTATTATTATTATTATTAGGTGACGTTGTTTTCTACTCCAGCACCCTGATGGGAGGCCGGTGATCTATACGGCTACTATTATACATTATTTAGCTATTATATTAAAAACTATAGGCATTGGTATATGTAATAACTGTCCTTTTATTCCAAAGTGTGTAAAGAAAGCAAGGAAAGTATTTAATAAAGCCGTGTAGGGCAGGAGTGGATGAAGCCGGTGTAGGAGTAACCTCCTGTACGGATCGCTCTAAGAAGTAAACAAGGCAGGGACTATTTTATTGGTCAACAATTGTACCTGGCATTCTGTTGGTGTGGGAATTTTGACAGGGTTCAGAGAGCAGAGTAAATGTTTCACGGACAGAAGCAGGCTGGGTGTGAAGAGAATGGCTGAAGCTGGAGCGCAGAAAATCTCTGCAAGCAACAATATCCCTGAGTTCAAGCACACAGTTCGAGCAGAAGCAGAGCAGATCTAAGCGCAAGCAGGGGCTGTTGGAGTGCGGCAGAGTTTTGAGGGAGAGCATTACAAAGTCTGAACGTGAAATCAATAAATCATACTCTCAAATTGAAAGACTCTTGAATAAAGATAGGAAAATAATCCCATAGATGACAAGTTGCATTGAGGCTGCTTGTCAACAGTTATGATGTAAGCCAAGAAGTGCTGCAGCTAGAAACCCTGTGGCTTCTGTTAAACTATTATGTACACGGTCTGAGCTTCTCTGTATGAAACATATACTGTAGAGGCTCAGCATTAGACCAAACACCCTTCACATCACATTGGAACATTTACAAAAGTCTGCCCACTGTTACTGTAATTGCGGGTCCTAACATGGTTCTCTGTAGATGTGGCTGGTGTGCATCCAAAACACACAAACCCACACACATACCAGAGTGTGTGTCTCTCCCCTGTCTTCACAAAACCATAATGTCAGAAATATTTCTTTGCTCTCTTAACACATGATCATTACAGTTTGGTGAGATGGCTGCCTGACTAAGCATTTTGGAGGCATGTCCTGACACTGTCTTATCATCTTGTCTGCCAACTGTCTCTGCTCACACTTTGCAATTATGTGTACCCACAGCGCTATACTCTCAAACCTGGGTTGGGACTGTGGTAATAACTGGAGGCCCAACCTTACCCTCTGCCCAATACACCGTCATAAGGTCTCATTCTCCTGCAAAGGATCAAAGGCATAACCACTATGTTCTGCCAACTACAGAGAGTAGACAAAATAATGAAAACACCTCACAAAAAAGGATTTCAGCTCTGAACTATGTAACTTTTGCTTAACTGCTACTTGTGTCCACTGGCAATTATGTTGTAAATGCTAAAACGTTGCGTGTGACAGGTAGCAAGAGTCCTCAACCTGACTGAAGCGATCTCTTTATAAAGTTAGCTAACATTAGCTACCTCAACCACCAATCATACCAGACCAAGTAAGGCTGTAAAATCCCTGTGTATTGATATATAACAAAGGTGCATTTATTGATTATAAATTCAACTCTTCAATTATAATTGATTAAAAAATATTATTTATTCTTTCAAAATGTACATAATCAAGTCAAGTATTTTTTTTATTTATATAGCCCAAACTGTACCGACAAAGGGAAGCAGTGGCCAGAGGTTGAAACCAAGGGAGAGAGACTGTACAGTAGGGTTTGAAGGGGGTCACAAATACTGCAAAGTTTTATAATAGGGATTGCAATATTTACTTAATTATTTTCAAGTGTTTTTCTTATTTATTATTAACCCCCCTGTGTTTTAATATATACCTGAAATTTATCCAAGTATATTGATGCATCATGTTTCGCCTTTAGCAACAACATCCACTGAAGTGTTTTGAGCTGCTGTCAATGAAACAGCTATAAAATGTAAAATTACATCACTGTAAGCACCTGTTTTGCTTTGATACATAATTCCAGTCTACAGTTGAGCTTTTTATTTGGAGAAAGAGCTTTAGAAAGTTTCATTATGGCTGCTGCAGGCAGTGCAGTTTTAGATTTAAGTGAAGAGGATTAGGTGTTTCCCCAAAGGGATCCTGGTTCTCTATAAAAAAAAACCCAGTGCAGCTGCATTCCCTCTTTAGTGCCACGTGTGAGGTGCCATCTCCTTGCCAGTGTGAAGACTTCGACTCGCCCAGCTTGGCTGGCTCCTTTTTTAGAAGAGCTGCCAGCCAGTATCCTACAGCCCATTAGAGAGAAGTGATGAGCTGTGTGGATGACCACTTGCCTTACAGCAAGTTAAAGTGATTGTTCCAGGTCGCAAAAGTGTTTTTTTATTTGTTTTCTGTTCAGAAGCGTGTGAGACTTTCTGTAAAGCTGCCAAAAACTATTAAGGCACACAACTGTCTCCCTTATGTGAGAACAAATTTCTTCTGTACTGTTGCTTAAAATGAAAGTCTCAGTGAAATTTGTCACTGTCTAGAGAAGAGACCTCCGCTATCTTGTCTTGACTGACTACCTCCCTTTTTCAAATCAGTCAAGCCAACACAGGGACCAGGTAGCTGAAATTGCTTTTTTATCCCCAAAATGCCTGGAAGGTTTTGTCAAAACCAGGAAAAAGTGGTGGTTTTGTCCGTATCTGTCTGGAAGTCAAACCTCTGCCCTTGTGATCGAGGGGAGACAGATGCCCAATAGTACAAAGGACTTTTAGATGTTGTAATTCTCCTTGACCAAAGACAAGCAAACATGCACACACTTAGATAAAACATGTGAAGCCCTGTATTCAGCTGTGTGGGTTGTTATATTTCCTAATAATGACTGTCTCTTTTCATTATTCACAAGCATCTCCTCAATTCCCTCTCTGTTAATATCATCCAGCTGCTGCCTTTATGAATCTGTTCTCTATTCTTGTTTCCTCTTCATTCCTATGTGCTACTGAGACCTGAACGCTTGCTCTGCTTCCTATTTCTTGCTCCTGTTTGACACAAAAAATGAATGCTGAATATAAGTGTGCCTTCCTATTGTTACTATAATACCAGTATGCATGTATGCTGTTTTGATGGGGAGAAATAAGTAGGTCAAAACAGCATCTACAGTGTATTTTTCCAGGGAGTTCGTCTGACTGTGAGTGCTTGTTTCCCTGCAGAGACCTGTGCAGTGAACAATGGCGGCTGCGATAGCACATGTCATGATTCAGTGACAGGAGTGCGCTGCAGCTGTCCTGTTGGCTTCACTCTGCAGCCGGACCGCAAGACCTGCAAAGGTAAAGCATCAGCATTATAACTGCACCTGTCCAGCTGTCGCTAAATTAATCTCCAGCTTGTCATGTTGCCAGGCACATTGGAGCTATTTTCTCCACATCGAGCTCACAGGAATAATTATCAAGCTATTTACGACCGCCCCCACCTTTTAGCACCCTTTTCAACCTGATCTTCTCTTTATAGACTACACTACCTTTGTTTTGCACCCACAAGTGCTCTTACAATGTCTGCATCCTTACCAGTGCCACCAATCTTACACTACTTTCTGCTTTTCAGCTGCATATTTTTGAGTAATATTTTCATGCCACCAGTTTTCTTGACAGTTTTTCCACTACATTACCATCATCCAGCTTTCTGAGTTATGGCAGAGCATCCTCATCTCAAGCAACCTGCATACTGTAGCAAGTTTTTTTAATTTATATTATGTCTAATAAAATCAATTCCAAACTTTAGGGAAAAAATGAGAATTTTATAAGGAGACTTTGAAAACAAAGGTGCTACTGACATTCAGAGTGTACACAACTTTGGAGAGAATGAGGACAATCTGTGTATCCAGAAAAGTGAGGATAGAAATCTGTCAGCCTTCTATTGTTCGGAATGTTACACCAACAACTCTGATAAAAGTACATTGGCTTATATTAGTTTGGTTTCAGAGGAAACGAGAGGAAAACAAATCCAGGCAGCTCTGGCACAAGAAGACAGGGTCTTGCTGCAGGCCATGCACTTCTGAAGAACGGAGACAAAGATGGAGCAAGGAAGGGATTATTTTATCCCATTTTCTGATGCATTTATTTCAACCAGATGATGAAGACTCCCTCAAGAGACAGATGCCTCATTTGTGACGATGATTCAGAATTAATCAGAGCCGTTGCCAAACTTGCCAAGGCAGTGCACAATCAAAGGCATAGATGAACACATGATATATCGATTGGGCATTGGCTTCAGAAGTAAAGAGCAGGGTAATCGGAGGAAGATGGACAATGATGATTTCGAGTCCTCACTGTCAGGAGGCTTTAGTGTGTGAGAGCTGTATCCCATTACAGCCATACGGAAACTGATTTTAGTCCTTCTGAAGGCAAGTAAGGAAATCCCTGAAGCTAATTTCCAGTTTCTGCAAGACGGTCATGGCAGTATGACCAAACACTCATCCTATTTTGAATAGTTCTGCCTTTGTTCTTACCTCCACATCTCTGTTCAGATTTAACTTTTAGGATAAAAAATTAGGCTGCAATAATCAATATATTTATATTAACAATGGATGACATAATTGCTTGTATGTCCGAGGGGTCAACTTCCAGACAATTATGACCCAACTCTGCAGTTTCCCTCAGCTCTACGGAGCGGTTTAGCATCTTTCAGCTCATTGTTTTGCTTATCCCATCTCAAACCCACTGTTTTAGTTTAGGCAGGTGTTTTCAGCTAAAAAGCTCAAAAGCCTACTGTACGCTAACCGCCCACCACTAAACGACGGACAAAGTTAGGGACTAGCTGGGGAACAAACTGGAGCATTTATAAGCTAGAGACTTTTCTCAGGAGTTGGTGGAGATCAAAAACAGAACAAAAAGACAATGAATTTTGGACTTCGCCAGGTGGTCAGAAACACAACTGCAAATTAATGATAATGTCACTCCATAACTGCAGGATGTTTAAATAAGCAAAAGAAAGTTTGCTAAAAAAAAAATATATCAGTGTTGTGTCTGGTTTCTACTGCCTTCAAGTGGCCAAAAAAGGTTTAAGCTTAATTTTCTCTCTTTCTTTTGTGAAGGTTTATTTGATGTATCCACTGTACTTGAATTTATGTTCATAGATATTGATGAGTGCCGCCTTAACAATGGGGGGTGTGATCACGTGTGCCGGAACACAGTGGGCAGCTTTGAGTGCAGCTGCAAGAAAGGCTACAAGCTGTTGACCAACGAGAGAACTTGTCAAGGTATGTAGCTCTTTTGACTATCTATTGCCTCTTGGATAAAACAAATTTTCCACCACCCGAAAGCCATGTCCTTATCACTTTCTTTGTTATAGATTTTTGCATTGATTATCAAGAATGATAAACCAAAAATGTCCTGCTAGTGGCACAAAAAAGGCCACTCCAGCCTTCAGAGAAGCCAAACCTAGCCTCTCTGGCTTGTTTGTCTGTTATATTTGGTGGTAGCCATCGCTCAGCAGGGGCAGGGAGGACTAGCAGCAGAAGAGTTTGCCATCGCTGAACACAGGTGTGGGAAATTAGAGGTCCAACTCTAAAACCCCTGATTCTCGGATGAATCATGCCACTACAGAAACATCTGGTGAAAGAAGACAGGCAAGCTAGAACTGCGGAGCCGATCTAGGCCTCTCTCTGAGTGGAAAAACAGATGACATGCTATTTTTTAATTCTCTTCTTTATTGATGTGGTCAATCAATATCCAGCCTGTTACACATCAATGTCATGCCGTGGGTTTAGTATTGCGGCACTGAATCACACCACTCTGTACACAGTCCATAAACATCTTATGTGGTCAATGAAAGTATACACTGTGTCGCTGCTTTTCAGCCACTTTCTTGTCACTTCCAATCTATTTTGTCATTCTCTCATTATTTGAAGCAGAACAACGCAAAGTTTATTTTGTCCAAATAACACAGATAACTGAGAAAATGTGGCCTGTGCATGTAGGAATGCAAATCACAGCTTGTTGCCTGTGGCACCATGCCTTAACCAACTCAGCCATGTGTTGTGTGGGTGCACAGGGGCAACTTTGGAACAGTGTTGTCCTTGTTTGGTGCTGTGTGTTTTGTCTGGAGAGAAGGGTTGTGATAAAGCTCACCTCCTCTTGAGTGAGGTGTTGCCAGGCTCTCACACACCGCACACTACTGAGTCACCTGTCTGCTCTTTATCCTGTCCCCTGATTCTTTTCATTTTTCTCAACTGTGGAACACGAGCAGGGCAAAATAAAAGTAGATTCTGATTCTTACCCCTTGTGTTAGGATGTAAATATGTAATTAAAGAGACACTCCAAGGATTTAGTATTGCACTTCCAAATCTCTTTGTCTTTATTGATTCATGAATTTACAAACAAGGCAGGACAACAATGGCATTAAAGGTCCTAGGCTTACTTGTAGAGAGAAAAGTAATATAAATAAACATTCAAAACCCAAATGAAAACTGCTGCGATGTTTAATACTGAACAAATTAAGAGAACCTGACTATTTTAACCAGAAGTTAACCAATTTATTTTTATTCTTTTTATAATTTCTGTACTTATTCTGAGACTGTTAAGGTATTCACGCCCAGCTTGAGATAACCCTGATTTCACCACCAAGAATTCATTAGGGTTACTTTCTTAGAGTTGACAAAACTCCTCCAGAGCCACAGAAGACATTATACATCTGTTTTCTCATAGGCTGATCTTTTGCTTTAAATCTGTGGAATGCCCCATCGTGCATCCCTCTTTTGAGCATTAAACCAGAACCGACAGATTAAGAAGCTTAAGTGTGAACTGTACCATGGTAAAGTACTACAGTTTTGTTATTAAATGCTTGGCGGTGGGTTGTGGTGTTCAGTAACACTTAAATAGAAGTTTGCTGTTTCCACGAGGTGTTGAGATGTGTAAACTGAACTATGGGTTTATCTTGGTTTAAATAGTCATGGTGTTTCCCTGCTGCCAGTGGACCTTGGCCCATGAATCAGGATGAGGCATGTCTGCTGAGCCCCTGTCAGCATTCCTCCACCCTCAACACCCTCCAAAGTCTCCTTCTCATCTCCTTCTCACTCCTAATCCATATGAGGGCACTCAGGGAGATGTTCATCAGATGACATGTTTTCTCCAGAGGGAACATCTTTGATAAAGCTTTTATCTGTTCTGTATAAACAATAGTGACCTTTTCTTAGGTTCAGTCATCCTCGTTTGCCTCCCTAGAATTTTATATTGAGCACAAGTGGAAGTTAAAGTGATGAATTGAGTCCTGACACCAGGATCAGTCTGGTGCAGTGGGGGGGCAGATTAACAGAGAGCAAAGAGAAGGAATAATTGATGGAAACTCTGTATTTTCCAGCATAAGTGATATCACTGTTCTCATTTTATCTTCCCATGGTCCCCTGCACGTACATCACCTCATGATGCAGTCTTGCCCACCCGCTGCATACTTCATCTTAACTGCCTGGTAAATAAGGGTTGAAGGAGTCCCAGATGTCTTCACACATCTATTCTGTAGCATGGCACAACACAAAATGATGTAATGAAGCTTCTGGCTTTACCGATTGCAACATTTTTTAGGGTAAACTCGGTCACCACGCCTAATTCCCAGAGGGTTTTAGACTGTTCACTTACAAGTGTGTAATATGCCGAAAACAATCACTTTTGCAATGCCTCATACAGCATGTGCAAGCCCATACTGCTCTCATCTAGCACTGCTGTTATGAATCTGCCACCACAAGGGACCAACAGTGAGGACTTTGAGTTTGTTCTTGTAAAGGTTTTTCATCTTTTATTTGTACTATGATTAAACATTTAGGGGATTTTGAAACTGTTAAACATCAACCTATGGATCTCCTCCAAAGTAATCGGATCACTTAATAAGCTTTTAATCTCAGCACATTTTCATCTTCTTGATGCTCGCACAACACGCCTGCCAACTACTAACCTCAATGACTGTCTTCATTGTTTGAGTTCAGCTCTATTGTACATGAAGGATTATGCCCAGCTTGAATATTTTGTGCTGTTCTGTGCAACTATGCAAGATTTGTGCAGACATTTGTCTGTCTGTCTTCTTGCTTTCTTTAAGGTAACCCATTATTTAACTGAACTCCTGTAATTGCCTTGAAATACCTGTGTCATCTGTTTGATGGTGGCTGGCGCTGCCTCACAACCCAGAGGAGGTTCAGATATAGTGGATAAAAGCATGATATTCCTGGCAAAATGCTGGAAACCTTTCTTCTGGGTTTGACACAGATTATTACTGACATTAAAGGAAACCTTGATCATAATAAAACCAAATGTCATCCATCTCCTGTAGCTCCATGTATCAAACCTTCTAGTGTTTATTAGCCCATGACATTTAAGCAACTTATCAGGATGTTCGTGTAAGAGAGCAGAAAAACTCAAAAAGATAAGACACAGAGGCTCCTGGCTGGCAGGAAGTAGCTGTTGCAATGTGGATTTGCAGGTGGTTGAGGCTCCCAGGGTTAGAAGGACAAAAGACACTGAAAGCAGGATTCTTCATATCTGCATCTGACATATTTATAAAAATACTACAATGATTGGTGATTATTTTTGCACAATTGATATACACATGATGTCAGAAGAAGAAAAGCTTGAGAAGTCAGATTATGGGGTTTCTAGCTATACTGGGTCATTTATGGTATGGATAAAAATGGCTCCTATTATCAGGAGCAGAGCAGACTTTCTTTCAACTCCTACTGTGGTCGCTTGTTATTTCAAAAATACTATTCCATTCCAGTGCATTGAAATGGAAAATCGCATGACTTCAGGAGGTCAACTGCCATACCAAGTCCCAAACAGAAGATGTCTTCCTTTCAAAAGATGTTCTCTTTTTTTTGCAATTCATGACAAGCAATGAATACAATACAGTAAACAAGAGGAAAACTGGAAAATGTGCTGTTGTAATTTGTTGAACTGTTTGAAAAGTCTCTAACAGTCTTTCTATCTATTGACAGACATTGATGAGTGCTCTTTTGACCGGGCCTGTGACCACTTTTGTGTCAACTCTGCTGGTAGTTTCCAGTGCCTCTGTCATAAAGGCTACGTGCTCTACGGCCTGGCACACTGTGGAGGTGAGCCAGCATGCCTGCTTCCCTTACTCCTATTCTTTTGATGTGGATCTCCTGTCCATCACTCTTGCTCTGCTTCACACACCTAAACACCAATAGTTGCCTTATGTTTAGCAGGAAAAACCTGACTACACTAGACAATACCATCTCTCGAAGATACTTGATATGGCTGACTGTTGCCCTGTGACCTAGGTATCAGACAGGTTTCTATATTCTACAGTTAAAAATTTAGTTAGAGCCTACTTAAGAAACCTAAGATTGATGGGTTTATTATAACTTCTTTGAGACCACAGTGTCCTGTGACGGTACAGCGACGGGGCCGTATAAGCAATGCACTGCAGTATGTGTTGCAGTTTTTAGGTGGATCTGGTGGTACCGCAGATAGCTCCAGGGTTTAACGAGTCAGCACAGAGCCTCTTGTAGCCCAATAGCCCCACCCCACCTCTGCACTAGAACACCAGCATCTCATACCAAAACAAATGAGTGCTACAGCCCACCAGAATCCATTAAGATTAACAGTTTTTTCACAGTCATCTTAAAACACACTTTAATCATTTAACTCATGTAAAGAACATAAACTAAGATGGTGAACATGATGAACATTATACCTGCTAAACATCAGCATGTTAGCATTGCTGCTTTAGTACAGTAGCTACTGTATAAAAATCTATTTTATTATTCAACTAAAAAGATCTTGAAAGTAAATCCAGTGGCTCTTTAAAAAAAAAAGAGCCATTTTAACTCTGAGACTTAGGAGTTGCCTTCCTAACAGCAAGCCATTCCTTAAAAAAACATTATTGTTTTCACCGTTTTTTCATTTTCATTGTTTTCTGGATGCCACAGAATCATTAAAGAATAAAAACATGTAAAAGCCCCTTCATGTAGCTTCTGATACAATAACTAAGTTTTGAGTCTCTGCAAGTTGATTTTCAAATGGACTGAAATGAGCTGAAACAGGTGGCTGCCTTGAAGGCAGGAAATCAATCTTGCGCTACACTTGGCAGTAATGTAAAATGTTGACAATTTGTGCTGGATTTAATGGACATGAAAAAACGTAGTTATGGTTCTTCAAGGCGGATATGACCGTGTCCATCACACATTAGGTACAGGTACCTACTGTACTCTGGTGTGGAACAGCCTTTGGTGTCAGGAGGAGGTGTGTGGGGGTGTGTTAGATCTGCCTGGCAGGTAGCAAGAGGCCCGCCAGAGCACATCAGGGTGTTGCTTCGTCCCTTTGATAGAGTGTGTATCACCAGTTAGAATCTGCTGCTGTCTCCAGCGCCTCAGGGCCTCACAGTAGTTGTACGAGAGACCGAGAGAGACAGCATATGTACTTGAAATACATAGCTTCGCACTGATTTGTTCTGGGGTTTTTTTTTGTAGTTTGACAGGTCTACTGATCAGGAATGTTGCAACAGAATGTAGAAGAAGGAATGTTACTGCGACTAGAGAGCAGTAACGTGTAGATGTATGGGCTCATCTGGTTTGCACAAACAACAGTGCGCTTTGTGCATGCCCATCTGAGAACCTTTGTTACACGTTGTACCTCTCCTTTTCCCCATGTTTCCTGTCTATATCTCTACTGTCACAGTCTAAAGATGAAAATGCCTTGAAAAAGTCTTTTAAAAATGGTTTCTTATAATGCAAGAGCCACATACCGGAGGTGGACAAAATAAGAGGACATCTTATGCAATTTGTTGAAGTCATGCTGCAATAAATACCATCTTTTTGAAGCTTATTTAATGCTTTGTTGACACTAAGTTGGAAAGATGGTTGTAATGTCACTGAATGTATTATATTGTAAGAGGCTGCTTTTATTTCATCCACCCCCTGTATGTATGGTTAGAATTCCACAAACTTTGTTTTCAAATGAGTCTAATAGGTTCATGGGCTCCATTCTACACGTAGGCAGCGGTATTAGCTGTTAGTTCAGGTAATAAAAGCACCAGAATAGGATTTATAAGTCTTTCACTCACATGATGGACTGTGATCATACCACACTGAGCTGCTGTGAGGAGAGAAGATGGTCAGGCGTAAATGACTCTGTGTAACCATTGAGAGAGCCGGTGATGAATGATTTCCCCTCGCTTTTCATCGGCTCTGTCGGAACTGTTAGGTAACCCCAGAGATTTATGCTGCTCCTTGTTGTACTTTCTCACTCCCGGCCATAACCAAGGTTATGTTATTCCCTATGAGGTTTATCAACTGAAATATAGCTGCCAAACAATCCAGAAAGCTGTGCTCAGTGTTTAACAATAGACTCACCCTAAACAAACCCAATTAGGTCAGTGACCCGCTGTCAAGCATTGTGCCGAGGCCTGTCAACATTCCTCCCAAGTGAGAGTATATCCAGCCATTCTCCTTCTCAGCTAGCAAAACAATCCACTCATTTTTGCTTATCTGGTAAGAAAATAAACTCAGAGCAGTTGTGACTAAATACTTTGTGATGTATTTTTTAATTTACCATGTTTGATTCAACCGGCACTGACCTGAACATAAATGCTTTCTTCTGGTACGGATAATTCTATGTATACATAGACCTAAGAAAAAGACAGTATAGTGAAAGTTAATTGGTAAAATACAGAAAGGGCTGTCCAGATAGTGCTTTGGGAGAATTCCTCACATTACGATGTTGTTTAGACTGGGAGTTGCTGCTGTTTATGAATAAGCACACAGAAGCGATTAGAATTTAAATATGGCAACATTTCCACAAACTCCCCAACCCATCTCCACATTCCTCTCCATTACACAAAGCAATTGTTGAGTGTAAATGTCAATTTTGTTGTTTTTTTTTGTCCTGTCCTTTCCTTTGACTCATCTCTGCTCTCTTCTGTGAGAGCACGCAAAGAAAAAAAAAGATTAAAGATCTTGAGAAAGGTCAGAATACATGTATTTGGTTACATTTCAAGTATGGGAGGAACAAAGAAGTCAGAACAACAGTTGCTGGCAGATGAGCTCCGCTTCCATCAGATATTCATTAGACTTCTTTGTCCTTTTTAAATTGAGTGCTTTGATGCGGAGGATAAGCAGGCCATCTCTCACAACATTTCCAAGCAGCTCTGGCTACACATCGGCAGAGCACTGTTGATGAAGTCATCATCGTCTTCAGGGAGTGTAGAGGCATGCAAACTGTCTTTATTCAGCGTGAATAATTGAATGAGACATGGAAGAGCATTTCATATCAGCAGGCTGGATCATCAATCACTGCCATTATCTCAGTCTCTCTCCCGGTGTCTCCACCGCTTGTCCGCATCCTCAGCTCGACTCACTAAACTCATTTTCTGTCTGGCGTCAGTGGCGGCCAGCCTGCATCTGGGTCCCGGATGCTTTTAGTGGTTTTAGCTCAGCATGTGTTTGAAAAGGTGATTATAATTTACGGCTCTCCGCAAGTCTTCCTCACTGAAGAGCAAAGACGTTTTGACCATGAAATTGAATGTGGCAACATCAAACCGAGGAATCACTTCTGTTTACATGCCAACACATTCATCTTCCTTGAATGTGACTCTCTGACAGGATGAAGTTTACTGACCTCTCAGGACCTCCTCATTCACAGCTCTGCTCTTTAATTGGCCAGTTTCTCTCCTTCATTTTATTCAACAAAATTGTCTCCAGATCTTTTTGCCTGTTGACGACATTGTTTCTCTGTGTTTCTGATGTTATCTAACAAAAAAACCTTTTCGTCCCTCATGTTTTTCTCTGTTTTAGTCTTAAAAATCAGACAGGGTAGGTGTGCACAGGTCCTTTTATTGATACATATGCATGTCCACTCAATGTCTATATATTTATTCACAGATATTGATGAATGCAGTATAAATCGTGGTGGTTGTAAATACGGCTGCATCAACACTCTGGGGAGCTACGAGTGTACCTGTCCACCAGGGTACAAGCTGCACTGGAACAGGAAAGACTGTGTTGGTATGTAGCAACACTGCCCCCCTGTGGCTAAATCATTGACACACGCTCAAAGCACAGGCTTTCTCTCACTCTTTCAGCTTTCTTAGTCAACAATGTGTGAATCTGTGTGGGTTTTCTTTTCCCCTCAGAGCTGGTGAAATGTCTTCCTGGACTTGTAGCACCAAAGGCCACTCTGACCTGTAGCAAGACAGGCAAGAAAGAGAGCTGCTCCCTTACCTGTGCCTCTAAGGCTCACTATCTGGCAGGTATGTCAGAGTGCAATTACAACACACCAAACAGAAGTCGTTTTTAGTTCACAGTTTGAAACATTTTCAAATGTGCATGACCTTTTTCAGAGTCTGACAGCAGCTACTCAGTCAGCTGTGGTATCCCCATCTTCAGAGGCAAGTCCCCTGCCAGGCTTAACTCCAGCAGCAGTCAGAGCTGCATAGGTTCGCTGCCCTCCAGATTCCTATAATCAAATACTTTTCAACAATCCAGTCATGTCAGTCACAGCTGCACAGACAGTCTGTCTTTGCTGTGGCAGCATGTGATATGTTGCGGTGTGCTCCTACCCACTGTGCTGTGTTTGTCTGTAGAGACTTTGGCCCCTCCAGTGAAGCAGACGGCTTCTTTCAAGATTAAAAACGCCAAATGTCACCTGCACCCGAAGCTTACCGGCAGGACAGAGGACAGAGGACGGACACTTGGACCAGGTCAGCCTTAATCTGTGTGTGCTGCTTTACACATGTGCTGTCATATTTATAAATTTAAAGGGATTTACTGAAACAATTAGTCAATTATTGGTTAGTTGATCGAAAGAAATTTTAGCGGAAACCTTTTTTAATAATGGGTTAGTCACTTTATTCATTTCTAAAGCAAAAATGCATCCACTGTTGCTAACGACTCACATGTGAGGATTGTTGTTCTTGGTGATATTAGGTTTGGATTTTTAGATGATTTTTGGATTTGGTTCTGCCATATTACATTTTCACAATTTTCAGACATTTTATAGACAAAACAATTAGTCTGATGAATCAATTATAAAAACAGTGATTAGTTGTAGCCCCATTATCACTACTGAAAATTTAATTAAAAGCCTAATCCCAATTAGACGGCTGTCCCTTATCCTGGCCTAGTGTGCACGTTTTGACAAATAAGCCTTGGTCTGAATTAGAAGCCTGGTCGTGTTTTTATAGAAGTTTTGTGGATGTATAAAACCTCTTAAAGAGATGGTATTATGGTTTTAGGCTTTTCCCCTCTTTTTTGTGCATGTACTAGGTTTGCAAAGTGAAAAAGCCCAAAGTCCACCCCAAAGGGAGTTCACATCTCCCACAGAAAACTCTGCTCTGAACTGCGTGAAAACAGCTTGTTTGTAGTCCTGCCTTTACTTCCCTTTCTTGTGATGTCACAAGTAAATACGTGTCATAATGCTCGCTGAGCGACTAGTCTGAGACGCCCTCAAAAACAGGTGGAAAAACACTGAGCTGCAGCACACACCTCTCCTCTCCCTTCCAAACACTAGCTACCCTCCAAGCAGTCAAGGGACATAAAGTTGTTACTGTGATGTAGAGACAGAGCTCGGTTAAAACTTTAAAACTCTCGCTCCAGTCCGCAGACCGCGACCGCGCTGGCCGACTGGTCAGCTGCAGCCGAACGCTGTTTGTGTGTCTGTCAGTCTGGGCCAAACTAATACTTTCAATATTGAGGGGTCGAGCGGCCCCTCCCAACTTGGACTGATCCTTGTGTTTGCTGAATTCTGATTGGCTCAACGGCGCTGATCAAAGGAGTTACTTTCCATCTGGGGCGAGTTCAATCCAAAAGCTTTTGCCAGGTTTGTGTGAGAAGTGCAACAGAGAAGGGGGCAAAAGAATATTTATCTCCCTCGTTCTCCATTCTTCCTTTTACTTTACTTTAGCTTGTTGGTTGAGAGCTGACTTGAATAACATCAGGTCCAGTGCAGCTGACCTGCCACCCAGATACGCATTCACACCAAGGATGGTGCATTCAGTAACTCAGTACCGCAGCCTTACTTGGATTAGTAACTGTAATAATGTTTTGGAAATAGTAATCTGTTACACTACTAGTTACTGGGAAAATGAGTAAATGTAAAATAAGAAAAGTAATCTTATTATGGTTCTAACAGTAGGCTGCTGCTAACAGTAGGCTAGCTAAGAAATTAGTTTTAATTTAATGTTAGAGTGTTATGCTAATAGAAATAATTTATACTCTACAGATTCTGTGCAACCAAAATAAAGATTTTTTCAACTATTAAATAATACTGACAAATTAAACTCAATCAGCAACAGAAAACTACTTCCTTAAAAGAGAAAGCAAGCGTGTAACAATTTAACTGAAAACACAAAACTGAGCACTTAAATTAGCGAAACCTTTTTAACACCCTCCCTCCTCTGAAGGAGCACACAGCTCCACACTACTGTCTGACCCTAACTGGTCCACTGACGCCATAGGGGTCATTTACACTGGGGACGCTGGGGACATGTCCCGAACACATTTTGAAATGGCTGATTTTGTCCACATCAGTTTTTGAAAGCATTTGTTAAAATGTTCTGAAAAATAGCTTGCACCAAGAAATGTTAACCAAAAAATCAAAATGCTTTGAGAAAGGTTTATTTGCACAATAAGAAAACAGGCAATGCAATATAGTTTTCCCTCATATAAAAACAGACATTTCCACCATAAATTGGGGCAGAAAATGTCTCCACAATGCAGGAAATTACCAGTTTAATGCTCAAGATCTTCTGGGGGAGGACCCCCCGACTCCCCTCACATATATTACAGCATCAAGTATTTAAGCTAAATAGTTGGGGGGGGTCTGAGCACCCCTAAAGGTCTGATCGTAGAATCGCCCTTGTTCTCCACAATAAAATCATTTAGTTCATATTACGGAAACAATGAACAAAGTATTATTCATTCAGGAATTAAAGGCCTGTCCCATGTAGACGCCTGTCCCAAATATAGACAGGGTGAGTTCAGTGATTTAAGCAAATAAAAGCCTAGGCTATTAACACAGACATTGTGATGTTGTGTCATCCACAGGCGGCGGGCAGCCCTGCAGCAACTGCCTCGTGACATTTGTCAACCTCAAATGTGACTCCTCTAAGAAAGCGAAAGGGCGGCGTGCTCGCAACCCAGCCAACAAAGAGGTAACACGCATCACTTTGGAGCTGGAAGCTGAGGTTAAACCTGGAGACACCACAGGTCAGTCATATCATTTAAAACAAGTTCCTGTCTGTGTTGAACTTTACTGTACAGCCAACTGATTATTTATCATTAGTCAAAGCATGCAACCTAATGTGCAATCTTCTGTGTGCTTGTGACTGAAACACAGTATGTTTTATTTACCAGGGAGTTGCAATCTCAGCTGCCTCAGACAGCGCATGGAGAAGCAGGTCAAGACATATATCAAGGCTCTGAAAAAGTCCATCAACCAGGAACGCTTCCTGATAAGAGTTGCCGGTTTGGAATACGAGGTGGCCCAAAAACTTCCCCAGGCTTCTCCCAATCAGGAGAACTGTGGCCCGGGCTGGGAGAGGGACAGCGGCCGTTGTGGTAAGACCGGTGATCTAGACCAGAGCTAGCCACACCTGTACAGTCTAATGCAGTCCAATACAACTGTTCTTCAGTAAAGTCTACATTTCATTATTGTTTGTCATAGAGGTGTTAATTCAATTATGTTAAGTTTTAGCAGTGAGGTCATTGTTGTTGATGGTTCATTGTGTTCAGAGGGGTGTATGTAATAAACATACAATGAATTTGACGTCAACAAAAACTGAACTCTATGAGCTTCCTAAATGTAGAATTTGTCGCAGAGCTGTTAGTATTGGATTGCATTGGATTGTACCAGTGTACCTGATAAATATCCACTCAGTGGCCACTTTAAGTTTACTGGGTACCTGTGCATGGACCATGAAAATTAAGTTCAAGGTTTGCTTTTATATATAAATTTTTTGTAACTTTAAAGTGTGTCATCTCTGACCGGAGCTGTTGTGGATATTCTCTTAGTCAGATGCTTGTCGGGGTCTTACTACCATGGTGAGCAGGAGCGCTGTGTCCAATGTCCGCCAGGCACTTTCCAGGAGAAGGAGGGGCAGCTGGCCTGTGACCTCTGCCCTGGCAGTGATGGCCATGGGCCTGTGGGGGCACGAAACATCTCCTCCTGTGCAGGTAGTTTAACATCCCAGAGACGACGCTGAACAAACATTTCTGGTCTCTTTAGTAAACCTTCTCTCCGTGTTCTACAAATCAAATCCAGGCCAATGTCCAACGGGGTACTTCTCCAGCGATGGGTTCAAACCTTGTCAGCCGTGCCCTCAGGGCGCCTACCAACCAGATTTGGGACGGACACTGTGCTTCCCCTGTGGGGGAGGACTGAGCACCAAGCGGGAGGGTGCCAGCTCCTTCCATGATTGTGAAGTCAAAGGTCAGCTTGTGCTCTTCCCAGGAAAATATACTCAAAAACGCAAAACCCTCCCCACTTAATGTGTATCTTCATTTCTACCCTGCAGTTCAGTGTTCTCCAGGTCATTACTACAACACCACAGTACACCGGTGTATCCGCTGCCCAGTAGGGACGTATCAGACAGAGTTCAGGCAGAACTACTGTATTTCCTGCCCTGGGAACACCACCACTGATTTTGATGGTGCCACAAGTGTCTCACAGTGCAAGAGTGAGTATTAAAATGACTTTTTTCAGATTTCGCAAACAGGAGCTGGAAACTAATTTGTTTTGTTTGTGTGTGCCTAGACAGGCAATGTGGTGGTGAGATGGGTGAATTCATGGGTTACATTGAGTCACCTAACTATCCCGGTAATTACCCCGCTAATGTGGAGTGTATTTGGAACATCAACCCACCCAGCAAGCGCAAGATCCTAATCGTTGTGCCGGAGATTTTCCTGCCCTCGGAGGACGAGTGTGGCGATGTGCTGGTTATGAGGAAGAACTGTGAGTGTCTCTCTTTCCGGTTGTTGTTTCAGTGGAATTTAGTGTTTATACTGTATATAATTGCTCCATACTAGGAGCAGTTCTGAAAACCTGATTAGTCACCATTGTCCTTTCTGTGCCCCTGCAAGGGTCAGCTACATCCATCACCACCTACGAGACATGTCAGACATACGAGCGGCCTATCGCCTTCACAGCTCGCTCCAGACGTCTCTGGATTAACTTCAAGTCCAACGAGGCCAACAGCGCCAGGGGCTTTCAGATCCCCTATGTTACTTATGATGGTATGTGGCACACTCATTTTATACCTTCACCCCAATACAATGGAAGCGATACAGATTTTTTTTGTGATGCAGATTATTACAATTAAAATAGGGAATAGTTTAATAGATTAAAATAAAAAGAACAAATGCAGTAGAAGCTCAGAATGAAACAGAAAATCCAGTTCTAAAATGATGTGTATAGATGAATGATGTGAGGAGAGATTTAAATAAAGATAAAAAGCAAGCTTGCCTTATCTCCTCTGGCAGGTCGTTCCAGAGTATAGGGGCAGTGGCCTGGTCTCCTCCTGGTTTTTAGCCTTGACTTGAGAAGTGCTAATGGAGACCTAACAGAAGATTTCAGGCTGCACTCCGACTCCTATGATTCAGAAAGTCAGAAATATAGTCAGATCTACTCAATGGCACACTTGACAGATACAAAATAAGTCAGTGCTCTCTGGTGGAGAAACTATGCAATTATAACTTAAATGCAGGGACCACAGCCTATTAGTCTAATTAACTTATCAACATTACTAATAGTTCTAAATGACCTCTTTCATATATTCATTCATATGTTTTACCACAGGGTGGCTGGGCAGGCCTATAGGCTATTTATGATTTTTTGGCTACTTTATGTAACTTTGCATTTCCAATGAAATGTTTTGGTACATTTATTAAACTATACAAGTCCTGGATTTTTGAGCTATCTCAGGAAAACGGGCTACCCACTCAAGACAAAGCTAAAGAGTTTAGCGCCAGGCTCCAGGATGTAGCATGATAACAAAATGTTATTAAGTGTAAATTTTTTATTCAAAGTATATGCTACATGTTTTTACTGTTAAATACTTCTAGATGACTCTAGGCCTACAGCATTGATAGAAACATGTAAATATAAAAAAGTGTAGCAGGTTGCAGACCCTGTACCAAAGAAATAGCCCCTGTGACAACTGGTTTACCTGCCGTAGAGTAACAGGGACACTGGTTCTGGAAAGAGTTGTTGCTGCTGAAACTCAAAGGAAGTTTATCAGCATTTTTTTTTGGTCATGTGTTTGTATTATTATTTTATTGCCTAACTTTTTTTGTATACTTGTTTCATCAATTCAGAGGACTATGAACAGCTCGTAGAGGACATAGTGCGAGATGGAAGACTCTATGCCTCAGAAAACCATCAAGAAATCCTCAAGGTTAGCAGTTATACTTCTTCTTTTTTATTTTTGGCTTCATTTATTGTTGGTACCACCTGGGAGTGGTGATTCAGTTAAGCACTAAGCTGTACTTTAAAAAGGTGTTGTTGGGCTAAACAAAGTTGTTGCTAACAAACATTAGCACTTGTATGAGTCAGACGCCACATTAATACTGAAAACATTTGTTAATGTTGTCATATGGTGGGTGTGGTATTTGTTTTCCAGCATTGTGTAATAGCTTCAAAAGCAATACAAACAATTATTTATGATGAAAAAATGTGTTAAAAAGTGTAGAGTTGTGTAAAGCTGTCTGTTCTTCCCTACAGGATAAAAAACTGATTAAGACTCTTTTTGATGTGCTGGCTCACCCAAACAACTATTTTAAGTACACCACTCGGGAGTCCAACGAGATGCTTCCTCGCTCCTTCATACGTCTCATAAGCAGCAAAGTCTCTGCTTTCCTGCGACCATACAAGTAAAAAGATCACACAGCTGCTGAAGCACCGGATCATGACCCCCTGACGTCCCCCTCCATCTTACAGGCCACATCCCGCAACTCTCATAAGACTGATGAACATAAAACATACTAGTATGTTTACCCCCTCTTAATTTCCATAGGCTTTGACAATAAACACTATGCAGACCTGAGAAATACTGAAATCGTTTGTGTTTTAGATTTTTTGTCAGCTTCCATTCAGCACAGGTCTGCAATCCCGAGCTCAAGCATTTAGTGGGGATGTAGAGTATGTGAGTGGGTTTGGTTTCTATTGTGTTGAGCAATGAAGCCATAGAAAACAATAGAAACGCCTATTTCAGACAGTAGGAGTGACGTTTTGTGCTCGCGGTTTGAGCTTGTTGTTGTATTTACTTAAATGAGCGGTCTGAGTTCCAGCTCCAACTCCTACCATTAAGTATGACTGTAAGTGTTGTGTAAGTGTTGTGTAACCCTGGTCCCATCTTCAGTCTCTGTGTTGCTGTCCTCAAGGAGGAGCAGTTGTTATATTCATGTCGCAGCTGCGTTCCATGTCATTCAAAGCCTTACTATATTTGAGCTCTTAGAGCATTTTCCAAGGATTTTACTGTTAAAACAGTTAATCTATGTTTTGTTCTGTCTGTCTAGACTGTACTGGCATTTTCCAACCTTCAGATAATTTCTGTTGCTCTATTTTTTTTTTAAAGCCAACTTAAAGCAAATACAAAAAAGTTGGTTTATCATTCCAGGAACATAGTGGACATTTGGGAGATGAATAACAAACTAACAATTGTGAGAGCCACAGAAGATCATGTGATGTCTAGTGGAACAATGTCTCTGAGAGAGAGATAGAGAGAAATGTCTTTAAGGGACATTATGTTTGCTGCTTCTTTTTAAAAGGTCACTTTAATTCTTCAATCTCATATTGTCTTTCTGATTTACTCTACACACTAATAGTCTATAGGTTTCAAACAAAAAGGAAGCTCCACATCTGAGTTGCTTTAGTTCGTACACACAATAAGTTGATAATCTCATATTGCCTGTCTGTGGACTACCAGTTTTATCGCTTGTTTATTTCAATCTTGTAAATAATGAAAATAAATTAGACGAGGGTTGAATTCTTTGATCCTAATTTTCTCACGCAGGACCCCCAAAATCACTTTTGATGTCCCGCCCGTCTCAAATCCAAAGACACCCAGTGCCCAGCCTTTCGTCCAGCCCTCACATTTTATTCTGTCCCAATGAAGACAGCTCTTCCAAAGACGGGTCACTTTGTTTTGTGCACTAAAATTTTGAAGGTGTCATCCTACCTTTTGTAGTCCAAAGTGCAATGAATGAAAATAACACACCTTATTTTGGTTACACCCTTCCGTGACCCCCAACAAAGCTTGTGAAATGTGTTTTAGGCTGCAGTCTTGTTGAGACTCACTGTAATAAATATTTATCAGTCATTACGGGCAGAAGATGTTTCTCATAGTCAGAGAAATACTAAAAAATAGAGTCTGTCAAAAAATAAATAATAAATAAATAAAAAATATAAACTGAGTATTTGGTGTGTAGAAAATATACATTGTGATTTCAAAACAGCAACCAAAACAGGGTAAAATAATTTAAGCTGTGTAAAACTCGAACTTCGCTTGATGTTAGGATGTTAGGAAAGGAATAGTTGACATTTTCGGAAATACATTTATTTGTTTTCTTGCCGAGAGTTACATGAGTTTGATAGATTGATTGCACTCATGTATTTACAGTAAATATGAAGCTACAGCCATGAGACAGTTTAGAGCACCTATAAAGCTCACTAATTAACACATTACATCTCATTTGTTTAATCAGTACTAAAACTGGTGGGTGGGGGGTTATGTGTTGCACTATTTCTTGGCAGTGAAGTGACTTCCTGGAGCCTGTTGCCTGGTAACTTCACAGTGACGACTGGAAGGACTCTGCAAGAAAGTGAATAAGAATTTCCCAAATCTCGGGACTATTCCTTTAAAGTCACACACTGCAGTCAAATTTCCTGCTCTCTGATATCAAATAAATTTGTCAGGGAGTATGTTTTAACTCCGCTCATGTAAATAAAAATAAGTGAGATGGTACACTTCATATCATTTTACCAAACGGTATTTAATGTACCCAAACTTTAGGATGACACAAAAGGGATTTTGACCACACACACTGACAAACTGTAGGGTGATGCTGGGCCAAGTCATGAAGTTTTCAGTTTGAAAATCCTACACATCTTGCTAACTTTAGCCACCGATTACCAGATCTGGTCTCTAATATCTAGGCCTGTATGTAGGCCTACTAGGTGCCAACAAGCAGCACCAGATTGTGCTCACTCGGCCCACATCCCGTCATTCCCCTCTCCCACCAGAATCGGCTTCTTTCCTGCAAATCTTTTTTTTTGTTGCCTTTTAACAAGAGTTTGCTATGATGTATCATAGAGTTGATAATGATATTTGCACTTGAATTGTTATTGCTCATGTAAAGAAATGTCTGGATTTTGTATTGTCTTTTTAAATGAATGGAATTGGTGTTATTTTCTTGTAGCTTGTTTGTTCATGAAATGCTCACTCACCGTTAGTCTATAGAGATGATACACATAACATTATCAACTGTAAAAAAAAAAAAATTAAAAAACATAACAAAAACAACTATGTACAGAGGTGAATGAAACAAGTTTGTACTTGTTACTGCCCAAAACACTTATCGAAATAAACAATACTGTACTTCAGCTTCATTTCAAACATATTTTAATGTCTTTATGATGAGTTTACACAAGTTTTTTTAGAGCAAATAAGAAAATATATCGCTATTAGTGCATTATTAAAAAGGTGGATTTTAGAAGGAGTGTTTCTTTCAGAAGGAAGACATTGTGTAGCTTGGCTTAGGAGGCCGTTACTTTCATCCTCCACCGACGGGACGGCCAGGTTGGACAGAATACTGTAGTTTCACATTTCATTTATATGTATGTATTATTTCCTCCAGTAGGTGCGACATGCTGAAATAACGGGCGATAATTATAATTTTAAAGTTCTGTAAATATTTTAACATGAAGCAACTCATATACAGCAAAGAATTGATTACTTATATGTGCGTATGCATTTGGGGAGGCTAGGGAACCATTGGCCATCACTGCCACAGCTAATGGTGCTCATGCCAACCCTCCTGTAGCCTGGGTTACACTCGATCGATATGGTGCTCCTGTGCTGATGCAACTCAGTATGACCTCCCGTCCAGAAGGCGTTAGCCACATTTGGAGATGGGCAAGTAATTTCTGTGAGGAAACAGAATTCAAGTTTTTATTCTACTAATGTCAAAAAAGGGAAATAAAGTTGTATAAAAGAAAGTGCTGTGTCTCTAATAAGTATGTAGGACCTTTGCATTTAGGAGCAGGAGCACTCCATGTCCCATCCTCAGTACACCAAATCTCCCTTTGTCCAGTAAGGGTTCCCACACGACAGTGATAGCGAACCACACTCCTGTATGTGTACGGCGGCTCCTGGCGGCCTTTCATCTCTGCGTTTGTCACTTCTGGAGGTTCAGCACACACCGCAGCTGGAAGAGGTACAGCAGTGGTTGGCTGAGACAAAGAGAATGCATAACGAGAAGGCCACCTAAAAAATGATGCTATGTTAGTTCATCCCACCTTCACAGAGAGGAACACGTCCATCCCAGCCGTTACTCATGCAGTTTCTGGTTGCCTGTCCCACAAGATGATACCTGATGAAAGGATGCATGTAAAGTCACATTTTCATGGAGAAATGAAAATGGAGAAATGAAAAAGAAGAAAGCAGCACAGTATATATATTTCCTTACCCCTCATCACAGACAGCTGTAGCAGTGTCTCCAAACTCAACTCCAGTATATGCAAACTGTCCATTTGTTATCTCCCCTGCAGAGCCACATAGCTTTCCTTTTTGAGGATGAAAAAGGAGGAAAAAATTTAGGAGTTTAACGGTCATTATTTCATTTCAACTTTTCTGTTATAACATGAATAAGATATCGTAATTTATGATTCTTATATTTTAAGTGAGCCACGGTGGTTTTTGAAAGCTGACTTTTCAGAATGAAAAGGAAATGTTGTTTTTTAACATTTATATGCAGAGCAGCACAGTGACAGTATGCCTTTCAGCAGATGTATGATTGTAAGCATTTTTAAGCAACAACATAAGTGTCCTTTTATTGTTATTTTGCAAACTGTTGGCCGCCTGTGAGGTAGCAGACATTTAAACAACCAATTTAAAGAGCTAAAATCATGACAGCCTGCTATAGAAAAAGGTTAGGAGGAACAAAATTAGAAGATACAAACTGTTTGTATCTTCTAATTTTGTTCCTCCTCTAAAGAGCAATATGTTTCAGCTGCTTAATCAAATAGTGTTTTGGTCATTAAAATAAAATGACCAGTTTGTAAATTCTTTGGCATTTCCAAAGAATTTACACTGAGATCTTCAGTGATGTAGAAAAGCATTCATAAAGATTTAAAGGCCTGTCTGTGAAGGATTATAAAGAAGTTCTTACGTCCACACTTCAGCAGCAGTGGCGTCCACTTTCCCCTGATGCACCTGCGATATCTGCTGCCGCCCTCTTGAACGTACCCAACATCACACACGTAATGGACTTTGTCACCAGAAGCAAAAGATGTCATTGTGATGTACTTGTCGGCGAGATTGGCGTTGAAGTTTTTGCTGGTTACTGGTATGCCACATCCACCTGCTGAGCGGATTTCCCAGAGAGGAAAAACAAACAAAATATTTCCTGTCTCCTTTTACAAAACTGAGATGGTGACACTTTGCCGTACTGCCAAAAAATACACAATGAGCTATCCAGCAGCAATACTAACTCACTTTCTTCTTCGGGTAACTGAGTTTTATCCGGTGCAGGCAAGCACCGAGGGGGTTGAGGCTGCCACTGGCCATCAGGACCACAAGTGATCTGCTGAGCTCCATCCAGCTGGAAACCCTGACTGCAGGTGAAGGTCACATTGTCTCCCACCCGGTGTACTGAAACATCTCCAGTGCTGCTCACAGAGTTGGACACTGCAGGGGTGGAGCAGGTGGTCGCTTCCTCTGAAGACAATAATCTTTCTGTGAGCAGGTAATCCTCCAGCTTGATTGGCACACTAACATTTGCCTAATTTTAAAGTTTAATTAGCTCTGGAAACCTGACACACACAAAATCCAAAAACATGACTTGCTTATATATATATCAATTATATATTCATATATATGGCTTTAAATTGAACCAACTAAATATTTATTTTCACAACCTCATTGGCATATTGGAAAATATTTAAATGAATTAATGGATTAAACAATACACAACCACTTCGTATCACCTCTTAAGGTGCAGCATCCTCTGTGCGTCACATTAAGGCAGTAGTTACACCTTTTTAATGCAACACCACCCACTTCACATCACCTATTGAGGCGCAGCAACCACAGTGTGTATTCAGATAACGAGAGAATAAGAATGTATTGTTGCCCACCTTCACAAGACGGGAATTTACCGGTCCAACCAGACTTCTTGCATATCATGTAGTTCAGTCCTTTCAGGGTGTATCTGTCAACATGGAGATATAGTGGATAGTCAAACGCAAAGTCAGAGGCTTATTCAGACCAAGTTTTACAAGATTTCTTTCAGGTTTTAACTTGCCCTTCATTGCATGTAGCATAAACTTTCTCCCCAAGGAATGAATTCCCTTCATACTGGAACTGCCCGTTAGGTAGATCCCCGGCATTGCCGCATGATTTCTCTGAAATTAGATAGAGCATAAATGGCCAATCAGAACAGGAATCAAGGGTGAAAAAACAACAAGACAGAGACGTCTTTATTTTACCAAGTTGCAGAACAACCCACTTGCATTAAGCTACTGGAAAGCCGACTTGCCATTCTGAGTGTGTTTTGCCAGAAAGATGGGGGGGAGTGGGGGGGGTTATGGAGATATGTCATTTATAAAGTTTGTGAAAACAGTGAAACATGTGAAAATAACTGTGAGGCATGGTAATGTCGTGGACTTTTGCCAGAAGGTTCAGGTTGCATCCCCTTGATCCAGTGTTCTTGGGCTTAACAGCTTATCAGCTCCACACAGCTACGTCTGACCCCAAGCAGTCACAGAAGATTCTTTTGTCTCATTTTGGGGTCAAAATATTTGATGCATTAGTTTGTATTGGAGTCTACGGGTATGAGCTTTAAAGTAGTATTTTCAAGTGTCCAGCATTCATGCAAGTAAAATTAGGATGACTGTTTTTAGATTAGGGAATAGATGAAAATCCAGCAGCTAGAGTAACAGACTAGACTGTTAGATCAAGGGTTCTACTTTACCAAACACTATATGTGAAAGAACATTAAAAGCTAAATGTATTTCCTAGTGTTTTCACAAAAAAAAACCCAAGGCAGGTAATCAAGTAATAATAACGGGACCTCTCTCATTGATTATAAGAGACTTTCTTATTATTTTTTTAGATCCATCATCTAAAGCAAGTTTGCACTTTAGAACATAAAGAATTGAAGCTAATTTCGTAGGACATCAGATACAGTAAGGAACAGCAACAAACACCAGAAAGTTTGTTGAAAACACACCCATTTCTGTTTGCCCCCCCCCACCCCCCCCCCCCATGCCAGAAAGATGGGGGGGGGGGGGTTATGGAGATATGTCATTTATAAAGTTTGGGAAAACAGTGAAACATGTGAAAATAACTGTGAGGCATGGTAATGTCGTGGACTTTTGCCAGAAGGTTCAGGTTGCATCCCCTTGATTCCAGTGTTCTTGGTCTTAACAGCTTATCAGCTCCACACAGCTATGTCTGACCCCAAGCAGTCACAGAAGATTCTTTTGTCTCATTTTGGGGTCAAAATATTTGATGCATTAGTTTGTATTGGAGTCTACGGGTATGAGCTTTAAAGTAGTATTTTCAAGTGTCCAGCATTCATGCAAGTAAAATTACGATGACTGTTTTTAGATTAGGGAATAGATGAAAATCCAGCAGCTAGAGTAACAGACTAGACTGTTAGATCAAGGGTTCTACTTTACCAAACACTATATGTGAAAGAACATTAAAAGCTAAATGTATTTCCTAGTGTTTTCACAAAAAAAACCCAAGGCAGGTAATCAAGTAATAATCTCCTCTCTCACTGATTATAAGAGACTTTCTTATTATTTTTTTAGATCCATCATCTAAAGCAAGTTTGCACTTTAGAACATAAAGAATTGAAGCTAAATTCGTAGGATATCAGATACAGTAAGGAACAGCAACAAACACCAGAAAGTTTGTTGAAAACACACCCATTTCTATTTGCCTTCCACACTCTACGTTATTAATGTAATCTAATAGGTTTAACAACAAAAGAACCTTTCAGCCTACATGTGGGTGTATGAGTACTGAAAAAGGGTCCAGCAGTTTCCAGCTTAATCGGGTGCTTCTCAGCTCAACATGTTCTAACTTCAATAAGGGCGAAACCTGAAACCTTTCTCTGTTTTAACAATTAAACCCTGCAAATAACTGAGTTTCACCTTGAAAAATGTGAACCTACCCTTTACTATAATGTAATTGTTTAAGTAGTACAGTCTAAACAAAAAGCTGCATACATACCCCAATGCTTGTTCTTTCTCCATCTAGTTTTGTTGGCTCTTAAATTTTGGACTATATATGTTATAGACATATAGTTTACCCACATGGTCGCTAGAGGTCTTCAGTCTGCTTCTGAGCTGTGCCGTTTGTCCTTTAAATCACA